CCCTCTGTCTCCCGCTCGCACACTCACAGCAATGCGCACATGCACGCAGCTCCCTCTCTGGGGCGGGCTCGGTCTTGAGAGCCGCGGCATTTACACCCACATCGACACGATTGTCCGGCTGTCGGAGTGTCGGTTCATGTTCGTCCTCAGCGAGTTGGTCATGCTGGCGGAGATGTGCAGCCCGGCCCTGGGCCAAAGCAATCTCGCCTCCTCGAGTACCAGCAGCGCCGCGCTGGCCGGCTCGGCCGGGGCCTCCTTCACGACGGCCTCCGGGCCGGCCAATTCCGCCACCCTGAACTCGGCCTTCGCGGCCACGGTCGGCGGCCGGGCTAGCACCGGAGCCCCGCCGCCGCCGCTGTCCTCGCCGCTGGCCGAGGAGCTCCTGTCGGCCGGCATCGGTGTCGGCCTCGGTCTGACCATCACCGAGATCATGCAGAAGGACCAAAGCACCGACCTCATCGTGGACCCGGTGCTGCACAGCCAGAAGCAGATCCGCTCGCAGCTGATTGTCCTCTTTGTGATCGGCCTCTGCCTGTCCCACTGCTGGTCGGCCTATCTCAAGCGTGAGGACCGGTCCCGCACGCAAACCCCGATGTTTGTCAAGTCTTCCAGCGTGGCGGCCTTCGTGCGTGTGGCATCGCCTCCTCCTCTCCTCCTCTCCTCCTCTCTTTCTTTCGGCGGATTTCTCGCCCTCCTGCCTGGGCGAGACCCCCTTTCATCGCCCTTGCTAACCCGATGCACGCTTCTGCCCGGCCTCTCCTCGGGCGACGACCCCCCCCCCCCCCTCCCCCAGCTTGATGTCCTGATCGATCCCCCCCCGATGGATCCCCTGCTGGCTGAGCGTCTGTCCAAGCTCTGTCAGCATGTCCACTCGTCGCTGCTGGCTCACATTCCCCCGGATGACCCGGCCTTCCCGACATGGTTCGCCGCGTCGCCCTACTTCTCCTATCCCTCCACCTCGGCGGCCAGCGTCAATTCCAGCATCCTCAGTGGCTACAGTCCCTCCATCAATTTGGGGGGCGGTGGATCTGGCGGCTCCGGCGGCTCCGGCGGCTCCGGCGGGTCTGGGCATGGTGGCCCGGGTGGCAGTTCCGGCGGCGGCGGCGGCGGCGGCTCCGGCAGCGGGGGCTTCGGCAGCGCCAGCGGCATGCCCGGGTCCCTGAACTCCATCAGTACTGGCGATGTGTTTGGCTCACGGCAAATTGTGTCCATGTCCGGCATCGAGTTCGCCGACCGGGCCATCCGACCGATCATCCGCTATTTGTCGGCCTCCAACTATGACCAGCTCTTCTGCCGGAAGTTCCGCAACCTGATCTCCTCATTGCAATCCCTGTCATCCAGCTCATCGGCCGAGTCGACCGAGCTCAATGAGCTGAAGCTTCTCAAGTATATGGCCCTCAATTCCACGCGTATCGAGGATATCTTCCGCTCGTTGGACTCTGTCAGTCGGTTGTGCGTCTGTCTTACTGCGCCCGGCCCGGGCTGCCATCGCATTTGCTCGCCGCCTGTCCATGTGCCTGACCCGCGTGCCCACCCCTGCCGCTGGTCCCCGACGCCCGGTGTGCTCCTCCCTGCCGGTCCCCAGCCTCAAGACCAACACCATCACCAGCATCTCCTCGCTGCTGTACACCATTGTGTTGGGCTGGATTTCCACATACCCGCACGAGTTCATCTCCCTCTGGGATAGCCACAAGCGCTTCGACGGCACGGCCTCCCTCTTCTACAACATCAATGTCAAGAGCGAGAAGCCCAAGAGTCTGAAGCAGCCGGGCACCTGGAAGGCCCAGCTCATCTTGCTTCTCATTTCGCCGGCCTTGGTCACCCTGTACGGCCTCGGGCTTGCGGAATTGCCCCGATCTTCCGGTCTTTCGCTCCTCGCCAGGCATTTCCCCCGAGCTGACTGTCTTCCTCTCCCCTTTGCGCATCACCCGGCCCCCCCCCCCCCCCCCCCCCCCCCCCCCCGGTATCCAGTGCCCTCACCCGCCACGCGAACTCTCCCACCCCCCAGCTCCCGGCCGAGCGCCTGCAAGCCATGATCCAAAGCCAGGACCACTTGAGTAAGGCCCTGCACTTCTTCGAGCACCTGCGCAAGAGCATGCAGTCCAAGCAGCCGATTGACGTGTACCTGGCCACCTCGTGCTATGTGGACCTGTTCAAGGTGTACACCCTGGTCAGCCCGAAGTCCAGTGCCTTCGTCCTGCAGAGCATCATCAATGAGTTTGAGGAGTTCATCGAGAGCCGGCTGTCCCGGGTGGCGGACACTCCCTTCCGGCTGATCTCCGGCAGCACGGCCTCCGAGGAAATCGACCAGAGCCTGCTGATCCAGCTGCTGACGTCCAGCTACCGGCTCCGTGCCGGGAGTGTGGTCCGGCCGGGGCTGCTGTATGCCCTGGTCAAGGACCCCAAGGCCGAGCTGATCTTCAAGCTGATCATGGCCAAGAGCTGTTTGCAGATCGCCAGTGAGTCGGGGCACCTTCCCTGGAACTCGCGCCTGTCGGCCGCGCACGATGTCATTTCGCACCCGCTGCGCATGATGTTCCTGGATCTGGAGCTCCAGCGCCGGGTGCGTCTCGGGGCGATCAATCACCTGGCCGTCAACCTGGACCCGGGGCTGGTGCAGCAGGTCCTGGAGGGTGCTCCGCCGGGGCAGCCCGGCGGCGGGACCGGGGCCAACCTCAATGTCACCCAGCTGGCCAGCATCGGCTCGGCGCCGTATTCCTGTGGATTCGGGCTCTTTTCCAATGCCCAGGCTCTTGGCCTGCGCCTGGGGCCGCTGCTCACCTCGCTCGAGCACCCGCCGAGCCACCACCTGATGACCGGGTCCTCGCGGTTTGTGTCCTCGGTCAAGGGCAAGCGCGCGGCCAATGACCAGGCCGCCTACAACCTGGAGACGCAAATCCAGCTGGTCATCCTGCGCCTGTATGTGGTGGACCCGATGCTTGCCTTCACGGTGGCCAAGGATGTCGACCCGCACATCAAGTGCGTCTGTTTTTTTTTTTTCGGTTTTTTCCTTTCCCCTCGACCAGCTCTCGTCGTCTCCGGTGGTCCTCCCCCCCCCACACCTGCTTTTGCCCGGCCACAGTCTAATGCCTTTCGCCTTTTTTTTCCTCAACCCCCTCCCCCCCTCTGGCTGGGCGCGCTCACTCGCTCGCTCGCTCGCACGCACGCACGCCCACACACACA